CCCCCCCCCCCCCCCCACATGTCTCCTCTCTGCCTGCACCTGCCTATCTGTCATCTGCTTACCTTCCTCCACATATGCTTCCGTATGCATGGCGACCTGATGAGTCAGGGTGGCCATGGGCTCGTGCACCCCGACCCCCGGCACAAAACCACAACAATTCAGTCATGGCCGGACACAGGACTGGGGAAGTTATATGGGAAGCTCCCTAGGTTCCGTTTCCGGATGCCTCACAAGAACGCCGTTCTTGCACTGGGTCCCCGAACACGTAGAACCTAAACATCTCAGTGTAATTTCTGCATCTTTCAAGATCCCTCATCTGAGGCATTTTCGGTGAATCAACATGCAGGCATTTGTGACAGAGCGCCCTCCCATGACTCCTTGGGCCGCGAGATCACAGCATGCCCCTGCACGACGCCGAAGTTTCTTACCGGCGAGCACTGTGAGATGAACAAGCTACCTGACCTGCTTCAGCATGATTCAGATTCCAAGTAGGAAGCCAGCAAAGGTAATCTGAGGGGTTCGTTTTTTATCAGTCGGTCCTTTGGTCTTCAGCTCCATAGCACCAAGCAGATAACCGCTTTAGCAGATGCCCGGCTCCAACAAGTAGTGGTATGACAGGCCTACATGAACACCATATGTTCGAGCGTCGCAAGTGAGTCACAGGATACCTGCGCATTCCCTTGACGTGGTGGTTCTGCATATCCCCATAGCTTGACCCCAGCTTTTTTTGGTAGTTCTCCAAATTTTGGTCCTTACAAAAAAGGACCATAACAGGGACCTAATTGAGAGAACTACCCATATGTTCCCCTACACTGCCGAGTTTCGGTCGCATTCGTTTTCGCTGATGCGATGTCGCAGGGCAGAGAAGGTCGTATCAACTAGCTTTGCATGGGGTTCCTGTGGGGGAACCTATTATTTTTGGGCCCTTTGTTTTTTTTTTCGTCCGGGGGTAGGGGCGAGGAAGAAGGCAGGCAGGAAGGAACGAAGGAATGAATGAAGGAGCGGAGGAAGCAAGGAAGAAAGAAGGAAGGAACGGAGGAAGGAAGGAAGGAAGGAAGGGAGGAAGGAAGGACGGAAGAATACACATTTGCATATACATATACTAATTAACTAGCTTGCTATGCTACTTAATACTATCGTGTATTGTTCATGTTTTACGATAGTATTTATATACGCACACACACAGAGATATGTATACATGTATGTGCATCTGTATATATATATATGTACACGTGCATACACACCGTATGTATACTGTACTTGTTTTACGTTTTAGACCATTTGCTTTATAACCTTTGTGTACATATATATACATATGTGTATGTATATGGGTACTCTTTCTATCCCATAAGATGTTCATGAAGCTATATACATGGCATAACCCACATATGTGTATATATATATAATTATCTTTAAATTTGTGGATGTTGCACGTAAAAAGAGTATCAAGACTGTACATAGTATGCACAGTTCGTAGGAGACGATTCTGCATACGTCCTATGTGCACCATTTAGGTGTTTGCAATGCGCATGTGGTAAATAAAGTGGAGTACTTCGGTTTGTGGACAGTATGTATAGCAGGTAAGGACATGTATATGTATATATTTTACACTATATTTGCTATATAGGCTGTCGCATGCCGCAACATATACTTTTTGGTAGAACAATACAGCTTAACTTTCTCACGCTCTCTCTCTCTCTCTCTCCATATTATATATATATACACATAGACATGTTATAAAAGTATATACTCTCTCTATTTATATACACATACCTATATATTCATATATATATATATGTGCACACACACCAATGGTTCTTTATATATATATATAGTAACACGTGTGAGCTGAGTATACATGTATCTACATTTCCACTATGTATACTATTGATACTCCATGTATCTGTAGGTCCTATATATATAGAGGTGTTTGTTTGTTTACAGAAAAGGGAGCGTGTATAAATGTAAACATAGACAAACAAGTTTAAATACATGTAGACTATTGATACTCCACGTAGCTACAGTTCCTATATAGGTACATGTTTTATTTGAGAAAACGTATATATAGAGTGTGTATTGTATTATGTGCATCGCAATACCTACATGGTACACATAGGACGTATACACTGAAGCGTCTCCTTACAAGCGTCGGAAGGGTTTCGCGAAGAGGGGGCTTCCGTAGGGACTCTTGCAAAAGCTTCCCTTGTGCTGAATCTCCTATCCTTGCACGGAATCCCGTAAAATCCAGTGAATAAGTGTACTGTCTTCGGCAACCCAACGACACCGACCCGCCCCTCAAAGAAACTAGACCCCCCAAACAGAGCGTGGCACATGCTGTTTACAGCAAGGCCGAAGCATTAGTCATTCGTGTTCGCGGTCAGTCTTATCGATTTTTTGGTTGGCAACTGAAAAAGGCATTTGTGGGGAGAGTGAGTGGTGCTTGTCGTTGTAGTTTTAGAGGTGAACTGGCGATCCGTGCTCGTGGATCATTCACTTAGCTTTCGGGTTCGGTTCCGGACCCTCTTGATTTAGGGTTCAGGGTTCAGGTTCCGGTTGCGATTCGACGGTCTAACTGTCTACAGCTGGGAACGCACAGAGACACACGCGCGTGTGCCTTGATTAGTGGATATCAATCCAAACTGAGTTTAAACTGGTGGTACTTTTGAAAAACAGACAGACGCATGTGCACGCCTTGGGCCACTATCCTTTGCTAGAAGAATCTGCTAACCGCATCAATACACAGAGCACAAGAGCCCTGAACAGTCGAGTTTCTGCCTGGCAAGATTGTGTGCAGAAGTTTTCCTGTCCCAAGCCTCATAGGCATCCACCATAGCACAGAGATGTCTGTGTTTACGCCGCGCCGAAGTGACTCGTGCATCGCATAGTCTGATCAGTAACAGGTTCGATGACATGATCAACTACCTGCGGCGCAGCAATGCAGCAGCTCGCAAGAGAGGCGAGGAGACTCAACGCTTCGGCCAGGTTGTGGCAATTGACATGGAATTCCAGCTGTTCTCAAGGCGGGCGGCTTTTTTCATGCTGTGTAACACGTCTTCATGGTATGTCAGTGCATCTGACCGTATCACTTTCAGCATGGGTTAGTATCGCTCAATGTCAGTCTCAAAACTTGAGCTGTGTTCAAGGATTTGGTGTGTGGCAGAGCTCGTGGAAGCGGAGAAGCTGCATCTGCCACAAGCCTTGAAAATGCACTCCCAAAGCTCACGGGAACAATGCCACTTGGAACTTTAAGACCCCGAACGCAAGCATAGGGGCAGGTGAGATTGGGTGATAGTAGTGGGGAGGCTGTCTGGTGCAAAGGGGTTGTCTATACAAAAGAGCAGGCAGTAGCCTGGTACAGTTGGAGCTTCGTAGAGCCTAGGCGAGTTCACAGCATTCGTCTTAACATTCATTCAGGCTCACCTAGGCTCTATTGCTTTCCCGGTGAAATTCCCGAGCAAGGCGTGCTGAAGCTTCACCAACTCGACGTCCGCTCGGCACAAGCCAGCTTTGAAGCAGACCGTCAACTGGTGCCATGCCGAGTCAGGAAAATTAGAGTCGGGTGAGGTTCATAAAGAGATCTCGGCCTTCTAGTTATTGCTGATGGCATCAGGGTGTTACTTTACATAGCTCTTTGCATCGAAGAGTCTAGGTAAGCCGCCGCTCCTTCTCGCGCATTCGAACTAAGTCAAGAAGTACGGCTTCGACAGCATGGGAAGGGTTTCGCTGATGGGGCTTCCAGGGGCTGTTGCACTGTGCAACGAGCAATTTCTCCTGACTGATCTCAGGTCTTGGACAAGATCCAAGATGTCGACCTATTCAATGACAAGTTGCGTGACCTTTTGCTGACACGGCTCAATGGTTTTTTGTTCGCAGAGCTGCTAGTCGGCCTTGTGAGCGTTGAGGAATTGCTGGCCACAATCCTCGACACGATTTAGATTTTAGAAGTTTGGATATCCGCTCTGAGCGGTTGGCGAGGCTCATTGCCCTTGCACAGCCCGATAGCTTGACCACCTTTCCTTGCTAAGCACAGGCTTTTGCCCTCAAAGAGGGCACGGCTCAAGCTGTTGCAAATTAAGCCACAGTTAAGGCGCTTTGCATGAGGCCGATCTTGACCGAAACGTGGCCTTTGTAATTACACTTGAAGGTCTCTCCCCTGTCGAATAACGAGTTTGGGAGAACCGAGCAACGCGTTGGTGCAGTGGTTGTGTATGACCGTGTGCCTGCGCGCGCTGCTCGCACTCTTCGTGCTGAGTCTATCAGAGTCTATCATAGCAACCGGGATCAAAGCCACCTGCCACTGACGGGAAGCTAGCCCGATGACCATACATTCGGATCTCTTGTGTGGTGCTCATGCAGTCGCAATGCCTTGCGAAGCTGTAGCGTAGTTTGAGAAACTGTTTGAGTACCTTGTGATATATTATACTATATTACATTATACTATATTACAATATATTATACTATATTATACTATATTATACTATAATATATTGTACTATAATATACTATATTATACTATATTATATTATAATACATCCTAATATATTATATTACATTATTACATGATATTACATTATAATGCAACCTGAGTACTGCGAGGCCCGGTGCGCTCCAGGCTGGAGGGAACTTTTTCCTTGATACACTTTAGGGTTTAGGGTTTAGGGTTATGATACATAGTGGCGGCCATGCGTGGTGTTCATGCAGGGAAAGCATAAACAGCAGCAAGTCGTATTATGTCACAAGTGGCCCTTGCGAGCTGCCGCCTGTGAGCGGCAGCAATGCCAGTAGCTGTAGCAGCCGCCGTAGTTGTCGCCGTAGTCGTCGTTTTGACGGCGGTCGCAGTGGTCGAAGCATGATCCCTCAGGATGGTCCCCGAAGCAACTATACTATACTAACTCCGACTAGCTCTTTGGGCTGTTCAGTATAAAATAGGAAAGTCTTCTACTCCAACCCATTATGTTTCGGAGCTATGTCGGTATGACACCGACCGGAGCACCGAGGTCTTCAATCCATTCGTAGGGTTGGAACGTCCCTTTGCACTTTCTGGAAGTGCAACCAGTGGAAACTACTACAGTACGTGAACGGGTCCAGAGCCAGAGCTGCTTCAGGGTCTTGGGGCCAAGAAGCGCGAGCAATGCACGGTCCAATGTGCAGGTGCCGATTGCTCATTTCTAGAATGCCCTAGAGCTTTAGTTGGCCTGCCTTTGCACTTTCCCCCAAACTCCAATGCCCGACCGCCTGATAGATGCCATGAGCTTAGGCACCAAACTTTCAGTCAAACCAATCCGTTGCTCGCTGAGTGTGCAGGGTTTTGCGGTTTAGAGTTTGAGTCCAGAGGCATAAAGGGTTTAGAGCTTGAGTATGCTCGGAAGTTGGGCAACAAGGCTTGATCCGCATCGCTTGAAACCTTCGTACCTTCAACCTCTGCTAACAATCGGTGTGTCACGTATAGCTGTATAGCTACAGCCCTCCCTAAACCCTAAACCCTACTGCTTTCCTGTGTGTCGGCGGGATGCAGGTCTCTGCAGCCCAGTCTCCAAGAGAAAGCCCCTAGCTTGCATCAGCCAAGGGCAAAGGTTGCATAGTGGATGCGTACGGTGTAGGGTTATAGGGTTTAGGGTGTTGGGGATACTTAGATTTAATTTTCTGTTGCCAGGCTTCCGTTTTCAGCACCATGGTTATATTTCGGGAATGCTGGCGGCCGTAAGTGGGAGCAAACCCTGTCGATCGGAGCTTCGTTTGGAGGTTCCCTCACTGAAACCTTAGCTGCCCACGTCTGTTCTGGGCTTCCTGGTGCGAGAACAGGTTGCGGTGGTCGGCATGAAAGTTTCTGTACAGAAGCTTTGGCATAGCAGTTGAAACACAAACACTACACCATAAGATGCTATAGTGCTACAGTACTATATAAGGAACTCCCTAAACCCTAAATCCATAAACCCCAAACCCTAAACTACTATACTGTATATCTAAGAGCCACTCTTTGTGTACACCGCCTGGAACCTTAAAGCTGCTATGCCCTGGGCCCTCGAAGGGCAGGGTCGTGTCAGTTTACGAGTGTTGTGAGCGTTCCGAGGGTGCGGAGTTGGCTGTGCCGGTCAGGGTTTAGGGATTTAGGGCTTGAGGGTTTATAGGGTCTAGGGCTTTGGGGGCTAGTGGGAGAGGTGGCTCTTCATTTAGTTGGCATTTTTTCTTCGTGATGCTGCAAGGCTGCATAGGGCCTGTTTTTTTCTTCGGGTTGGATCCTTGAGGATGTTCCGTTGTCTGCGGTTGATGTCGAGCTCCTCAGGATTGCTCGTATGTTACTGTGGCTTTTCCTTTGGTCCCTGCAGTGCTACTTGGCCAGAACCCGAAACCCTAAGCTCTCCAAAGCCACCTCGCCTGCATTGCCGAGTTGCGAGAGTCTAGACTTTAGAGTCTTTAGAGAGTCCCAAACACCGAAATTTCCCGAAACCTTTAGACGATTGTAGTGTATAGTATCCCGCATCGCAAGAGTTCTGGAAAGCCTTGCCATTTTGAAATCCTGAAACCCTCAAGTATTCCTCGTCGCGACGAGGGCGACAGCCGCATCCACAGCCGCGATGTCCGTGCCTGCGCCTCGAGACTTCACTCAGGAACCCTTCGAGGGTCTAGGGTTTTAGGGTTTAGGGATATAGGGGCCCCGGCCCCGGCTGGTTGCGAGAGTCCTGGATGCAAAAGGGATATAGGGGCTTCAACAAATTAGAATAGGGTTTGGGGGTGTATTTTACTAATACTTATAATAAGGAGCCCCCCCCCCAAAATAGTATTGGTAATTATTTAGGCCCCTTAGGGCTTGCTTGCGGTTTTACAAAAGACCACCGAAGAACTAGAAGGAGTTCATATAAGGCTTCTACAACGTATGATGAAGGGGCCTTGACCACTGGAGTAGGTGAGTAGGGTTTGGGGGTAGAGTATGTGCAATACTTCTTTAGGGACTTAGAAGTAGGTGGACAATGAGTTAGAAAGGACCTCCTAAGCACCTTTTTATTGGAGCTCTTACGATCCGTGCAGGTAGTGCATAGTTGCGGGGATACAGGTACATGCCAGAATTTCGCTATAGGGCCAAGGGTCTGGACTCTCGGCTCAAGGTTAAGTTAACATGTTGAAGATTCCATCCTTGCTATGCTTTTGGTCGTCCTGCAAACTCGCTAAACTCCAACGGCTTGCTGTTATGCGGGGCACCAGGGTTTGACACCGCAACAGTTGCACGACACAGATTTTCAATCTGTGCGTGCTTGCCACAGCCTAAGTACCTTCTGAGCCCCTAAACTCAACCTGTAATGTAAGCCCGACAGCTGGAACGTCATGAGCCTGATGCCCTTACGGGACACGATCGAAATTCTCAGCACCAACTACTTTCAATGCATGCTCCCACTGTCTGGAGTTCGCTCTACCCTCCTCGAAGCTCTTGGCCTTTACCGGGGAAGCTGTGGATTCGTGCAAGCATCTCTGGTGATGATGGGCTCCGAGTCACAACAGTCAAACTTTTGGGGGTTTGCATGGGCCTTAGGGGGCTTTTAGGAAGCAGTCTGCGCACAGGACTTGGGGGTTCAGGCTTTCTTAAGTCCCCATGGCCCATTTCTACATGTTTCTTGCTCCCAAATCGAAAAATGCGAGCTTACAAGGTCTGAAGTTTACAGTAGAATCGAGTAAACAAACATCGCTGACACAGCTGCTGTAAATCGCCCTTGCAAGTTCCAAGCCTGCGGTACTTGCCCGAAGCCCTGAAGGCTAAAAACTCTTGACTTTCGAGGCTTCGCGGCATGTCTCGCCCACCGCTGCGCCGAAAGCTCGCAGTGTGGCGCCGGCATCTGTTCCGCCCTCGACTGTCCTGCAGAACTTTCGAGTTCGTGAGCGGTTTTTGGCTAGAGAGGTCAGGTGTTCAGAGCTGAAAGAGGTTCGTCCGCTTTTGGGTCTGCTTCTGGGTTAAAGTTGTATGTCGCAGGTAGGGCCCTCGTGGGCATCAAATGACGCGACAGTCGTAGTGGTACTGTGATGGCAATTGCCGGTAGAAAACTCTACTGCAAGTCTCAGTTTTCGGGATGGCTTAAGGCAGGACACCAGCAGTTACTTTTGGCGCTCTGCTATTAAGCGCATCCCAAGGCCTTAAGTAAAAGCCATCGATGACCACTGACACACAAAACCCCAGGCAGCGGAGCTTCCCGGCTTGAAGCGCAAACGGAACCTGATTCTAGGCTGAACCCTGAGCCTTGGCTCGCTTGCAGCTTCCGGTTCGTTGCTGCCCTAAGGCTCGAAGGACTCATATTCTTATGGCTAAGGCTTCTGGGCCTAAAGGCCATACTGTATAAGGCTTTTGGGCTATTTTGAGCCCTAGGGCTGGTGAAGCACACACACTCATACACACACACACGGACTTGCCCCCAGCGGAGTAGCGTTGCTCGGCACTTCACCTGAGCAACCCACATCGCTCTGAGACCCTTGTGCTACACCCATGGCGCCCCTGAACGCCCTCAGCGTTACACCATCTTACACCCCTGAGTCTGAAGAGGAGCCCGAAAGCTTATGGACCTTGTCGCCGTCTCTTTCAGTCCCGGGTGCATGAGCTTCATGTTGCAGTTCTGTACTCCTCCCATGTCCAAGATTACCAATAAGAATCTTCTCATGACTGAAGACACAGCCTCCCCAAAAACATTGACAGCCCCGAAACTTTCTGGAATGCAACGAAGACTTGGCAACAGGGCCGCGCCCCTGCGCAGTCGCGTGTCAGCCTGCCCGGACCTTGGCGTCGCAGCGGCGCCCACGGTTTTCGGGCTTGTTTGGAGTTTAGGGCCTTGGTTAGGTTAGGTTGGGTGAGGCAGTAGGGTTTGGGGGTTATTGATGATGTAGGAGGAATGCACGTTCCAACCAAGTCTGAATGTTGACTATAATTCATTCCGCTCCTTATGAGAATTATACTATG